TCAAGTTTACTGCTGAAAACATTTTGTGACAATATTCATTTTCCTTTCAGTCTAAAATGCACTAATGACTTGAACATCTCAAAAGGTGATATACGTACTTTCTTTCCTGTATGTGGGGCCATCTATGTGTGTGCATCTTCATTTTACTTTTTATGTTTGTGATGGATAGAGTGAGAAGTTGTGCTACTATTAACTTGAAAGTATTCTCTGCAGGCCAAATCCCAGGAAAATCTGAAAGAAGTAACTCACAAAGTTTACTTTGATGTTGAGATAGATGGTAAACCTGCCGGTATGCTCCTTCCCTTCATTTCACTATATTTTTTTCCTTTATTTATATGGATGCTTGATTTAATGGAATGCTATTTTACCTGATAACAAATATTTGCAACTGAAGAAAGATGATTGCCAAACAATCTAAGATATGCAAATAAAATAAACCGTTATGTACCACAACACAGCTATGCAGATATTTATAGTTTCACTCTATCACTAGCAAATATCTATACATAAACAGTAAATTAAGTAAAATAAAAGAATAATATAGACATGTATTTTGGGTATGTTGTTGCAATATAAACAAGTATTCTTGATATGTTGTTATTTGTTATTATATGAATATCATGTCCTCTTATATATGTCATTCACAACATTTAGGAATCCACCTTTTTCTCTTAAAAGTTGTAATCGTTGATAATTCTTCTGGGCAATGTTTTTGTGTAGATTCTCATTATCTAATTCGCTCCGTTGCATTATTTTCCTTGGATTAGTTTTCAAGTATTTACTTTCTTTCAGGTCGTGTTGTTATGGGTCTCTTTGGTAAAACAGTTCCTAAAACAGCAGGTATGGTTACATATATGAAGGAGAGCTTGTAGATTTTACCATTACTATTCTAGTTGTTCACTATCTTTCTATTCTCTTGCAGAGAACTTCAGAGCATTGTGCACAGGTGCTTCCACCAGACTTTCATATTTATTCTCATGCATTAGATGCTTTGGTCGATTCGCTGCTTAAGCTCACCTGTATTTATATTCTTTTCCCCCCTAGACTTGCTTAAGCAAGTAGTTTTTTTCTCTTAGCTGTCTGGTAATTCAAAAAGATTTTATTGGTCTATCTGAAGTATGGAGAATGGCTTAATAGTAACTGCATTTGCTTTGTTATCTTCACATTCATGATCTTTTTTTCTCTTTCTGTGGTAAATACATTGCAGGGGAAAAGGGAGTTGGAAAGAGTGGCAAGCCTCTTCATTTCAAGGGGAGCAAATTCCATCGAATAATCCCCAGCTTCATGATTCAAGGTGGTGATTTCACCCTTGGTGATGGGCGTGGAGGGGAATCTATTTATGGTGAAAAGTTTGCAGATGAAAATTTCAAGATCAAGCACACTGGACCTGGTAGGATTTTCTCCTTGTGTTGAAGTGACCCATTATTCTCCGTTTTCATGCATGCATGTAAACCTGTTTCTTACATATTTTCCAGGGCTATTGTCAATGGCAAATGCTGGTTCTGACACCAATGGTTCACAATTCTTCATCACAACTGTCACAACTACCTGGTAAGTCCAAGTCTCTTGAAAAACCATATTCACATAACTTTCACCATTCAAAAAAATATTCACTATTAAGAATCTGGAGTTTTATGTACCAGTGTTGTGTTATCTAATCTCGAATGTTTATTGATGTTTGTTTTGCATCATTTAACCCTAGCTGTTTGTGATTTACAACTTCTGATTAGATATAACCTTGTAGGCACTTCTGATTTTTGATTATTTGTAGGTTGGACGGTCGACATGTGGTCTTTGGAAAGGTGTTGTCTGGAATGGATGTCGTTTACAAGATGGAAGCTGAAGGAAGACAAAGTGGAACACCTAAAAGCACAGTTACCATTGCAGACAGCGGTGAACTTCCTCTGTAATAGGTTCTGATATGTGTTCACAATAATCTAAGGTCGTTTTAGCTGCCAATTAAAGTGGTGGACAGTGTTTCTAACTTTTTATCAACCCACGGTTTGTCGTGATATATTATTAGCACTGAAAGTGGAAATTGGGTGAAGGAATGAACAGGATACAGGCCGAGTGACAGTGGCTCATGTTCAATTTATGTCATCAATATGTAGTTAATGACTCTTTTCCTTATTAGTATCTATCAGCTCATGTTTTCTCATACCTTGCTTCCCCATTAGTAGAAATCAATGCACGTTCATTGTAGCTGAGGTTAAAAAAGAGACCAGACATCGAAAGAATATTTGGATTGACATCCACAAGAGTATATTGATATCCCAAATTTCTGTCGTAAAATATTATATACTACTCTTTATGTTCTACGAGTCTAGCTACTCTGCTAATTTGTCACCCATAGTGTAATTACACCTTTTTCACTGCAGCCATAAGCTAGCTTGTTCAATAGGTACTTGTTTTTCTTTTCTCAAAGAAAAGAAATGCTTCTAGTCATAAAAATGTTATAAGATGACTAGAAGCATTTCTTTTGGGAATGTAATATTTTGGGAAGAAATATCAACGGAAATAATATAGATTAGGGGCATTCGTCTTCCCAGTGGCGGGTGATATCACATTCATCTTCATTATTTTTCTTGGGGAAATTTTGATATTTGTACCATTTATTTGAAATTACATCAACCATCCGAAAAGAATTTTATACTGCATTTAAAACCTTGTTTCTTTAAATTGAGCATATCATATGAAAATTGTATCTGTTGCAAACACTTCTATCTCCAAACTCCAAACCGTCTCCCTCCTTGCGTTGTGCATAAATCACAAATAAAGTATCACAAGAAAAATACCAAGGACGAAAGCCGACAGAAGACAGAGGAGAAGATGAACAGAAACATAACATTAGATGATCAGAAATGCCTGAATACATCAAAGTCACTCAACTTTTTATTTTATTTATGAAACTACAATATTCAATCAAAACTACAATATGCAGTTCAAAGATACAATAATCAAACCAAAACAACGATATTCAAATAAAAACTACACTATTCAATTCAATACCACAATATATTTAAATAAAAAGCTAAAGTCCCACACCAGATACCATTCAAGAAACAAGATCCGAGTTGAAGATATAATGAAGGAAGCATAGCTCCACACAAGACATTGTATATAACATACAGTTCATAATTGCGAAGAAGCCGCCGCTACATTATGTAAGTGGTTTTCTCAGTTATCAGCCAGAGGTAATGGACAATCAATTATTGGTCCACTGATCATCTTAAACACTGGATTACACTAAGGAACAACAATTCCACAGCCATCAGCACAAACAATTCAGTGAGATGAAACTGTCTATTTCAAATGCAGAAGCAACTCACAACAGTAATAGAATATACTGTGAGGACAAGATACAACATTTGAAGCACAAGATATGAGACAGTGTTTGTGGGGAAAACATAGATATGCCAGTGGATTCAAGTGAAGATCAAAATGCCACTCAAAAGCAAGATGCGAAGGACCTCTATCCTTACATTTAATGTCAACAATAAGTAAAATCACAAAAGGGCCTTGGCTGCGTTGTTCTTATCTGAAATATCCTAAAACTACTTTTCCAAACCAAATCCTTACCTCGAAAAGAGTGAGCATCATCACCTAAAATTTCCCAGGTGAAGTAAAGATGGTATATAATTTGCATGAATGAAACAAGCTTAAACATGCAGTAAATTAAAAAGCTTCAGCTTCACTGCAAACATATATTATAGATATATGAGAGATGTCTTCCTAACTTTATACGACTGATATAAGTACCAAATGGACTTGATAGTGAAAATCATAAATGGATGAAAGGAGCGACCTCCCTACTGAGGCACTACAGTGTAAAACAAGGCACGAGTTATACCATGTAATGAACTCTACAAGGTTGTACGCTCAGTGGAGCCAAGTACAATTATACCTACGACCAAAATACTGTACACAAGGCTTAATGAAGATCAAATTCACACCGTATCTCAATGATAATGAAGTAGCAAGGTTTCTGCTACGTTTTAAAGAAATCTGTGTGTGTTTACTACTTTTATTTGGCATTTGCTTGGAAATATTGAAAATGTACAGCCTACACGCATACAAAAGCCTACACAAGTCCACTGTCTGGATGAATGAATAGTCACACTTAAATCATAAGTTGACAACAAAACTTTAGCAAAAATTAGAACCACTAAAGTGGCCAAAGCAAGAGATTCTTGGAAAAATTTGCATGACATATATTCCAAAAAAGTTGATTTGTAATTTTAATCATGAATGGATCCTCCAATGCAGCATGCAACACTGAGGAAATCTTATCACACAGGCACAATTGTCCTGTATACCAGTCATCTGTCAGACATGCCTAATGTAATTAGAGATAATGCAAAATCAATGGAATAATGAAGCAACTTTGACAATAATCAATGGCAGATAAAGGTTCATATTCAGAAGCAAATAAAGATCATAACTCAAAAGTAATTGAAACGTTAAGCAACTTTGACAATAACAACCGATGACAATAACAACTTTGACATAACTCAGCACAGTCATGCAAAACACAGAGAATAAACTGCTAGCACTCGCTCGAAGATCAAAATCCAAGAAGTAAGAACTTTGATTAACTATTGCAGTTGAAATAAACATGTCAAGGCCTCTGATCAGCTAAGAGGATCATTTGACTGGAAGATAAAATTGAAAATGACACCAATGATGGGAGATTGAAGACGATAAAGCAGAGGAAATAACATGTTTAAACTGCATAAATACCTTAATCACCTTTCCATAAATAAGCTAAGAGGAACATTTGAAGCTTCAGGAGAATAAATCCCGAAAACAGAGGAAATACTATGCGTAAATGACATAAATACCTCAAAACACAATCACGTTTGCGGGACATCACTCATCAGTGAATGCAGACAAAAGCAGCCTCGCAAATCAGCAATCAATCAACGAATCATTCCTTTACCAAACACAAAAAGATAGACAATAATTACATTCGTCAATTACCATCGATATCACAAGAATTCTTAACCTAAAACAGCACAGTATTTTATTCATCTTATTTCGTCCACAAACAACAAGCATCACAGTACTGATTCAACACAGAGAACTCTAATTTGTTGAGAATAAAGCATATGATGACTCGCATAAACTAGCTAGAGTATATACAGTAATAAAAACCTAAAGTTTATAATTAGGATAGAAGATGATATTACTAGATTTCGATTCACCAAACGAGTTGACTCAGGATTCGGCGGTGTCCACGTTATCATCGCGATTCTTAGATTCAAACAAAGCAAGTTCCCGTCGCCGATGAACGATGTTGCAGAAATCTACGGAGAGATCAGAGTACAGGCGAGAAACTTTGGAGATATTACTATTTATATCTCGAATAAGAGCGACGTTCTTCACCAGATTATCTCGAAGCTTCGATTGATGATTTTCGTTCACCTGTTGAATCAGAGCTCGGTTCTGATCCAGAACTGACTGTACCTCCCGGAAACACTTGGTAATCGTTTCCCAAGCCTCGGTGTCATACCCTTCCTCTTCTTCGCCGTCGACGTCATTTAAACCGTTGAATTCGCCGCCGTTCAACGGGTGGTGACTGAGATTAGAAAGCTCCTTTAGGGCTTGCAAGGTATCGTCCATGATCGGAACCACCCCGTTCAGGTATCGTCAACCAATAATTCCCCCGCTCTTTTTGTTTGTTTTTTTGGGAGCGAAATGATATGTATCATCTTCGTAGTGTAATTCGAGTACCACGCTCGTGACTCGTGAGTGATTTATATCTTGACAAATGCACCTTTTGGTCCCACGATAATAAGAATTCCACACACCGTTTCGTCTTTTTATGATTGAGATACTCACTTTTTAGTCCGTGTCAAAAAGAATAACATATTTTTATATTAAGTAATAATTTAATTATAAAATATTTATTTTATTTTTAATGAAATGGTTTATAGTCACACAAATTTCTATCATTTATTTTGGACAATAAATTTTAAAAAAAATTTCTTTCTTTTTTAAATTTCGTATCGAATCAAACTACCTCTTATCAAATTAGACGAAAGGAGTAAAAAATTGGTGCGAGGATCTGTGAGGAGGTGGCTGAAGAAGAGTGAGATAAAAAAAGAGGTGCGAGGATGTGTCCGTGACGAGGTGGCTAAAGAAGAGAGACCAGTCAAGCGTTGTCATATTTCTAACGAAAAAAGCTCAAAAATACCCTTAAACTATCAGAAATAGCTTAGATTTACCCTTAAACTATATTTCGACTCAAAACTACCCTTCTCGTCAAAGTATTGGATCACACTTACCCTTCTAGTTAACAAAAGTATGTTAAGTGCCACATGTACGCCACATGGACGCCACATAAGCACCAAACATTTTCCACTTCCATGTAAACTAATAAGATCCCTAATATCTAATTGTCCCCTCAATACGATTTCCCCCATTTCCCCTCATTTTCCCCTTAATTACACTGTTACTTAATGTAGTTAATATTAAAAAAACTATAGTGAAAGATGAATTTTTTCCTGCAGAAACTGCTGTGAAAGTACACAAATGAGGCTGCATATGATAAGTTGAAAGCCAGTTGAGTCTCTTTTGGAAAAGCAAGTGTTTCTCCTGGTGCTAAAGAAGCACCAGTTTCCAGAGTTGCCTTCGCAGTTTGGTACTCTTCAAGCTTACCAATTACATTATGAAATCGTTTCTTACCAATGAGGGGAAATGGGTGAAATCGTATTGAGGGAAAAATTAGATATTAGGGATCTTATTAGTCTACGTGGAAGTGGAAAATGTTTGGCGCTTATGTGGAGTCCTTGTGGTGTCCATGTGACGTCCACGTGGCACTTAACATACTTCTGTTAACTAGAAGTAGAGCTGTCAAAAGGGCCGGCCCAAGCCTCGAGGGCCAAGAAATTTGAAAGGCTAGGGCGGGCCGGCCCTTCATTTGGAAGGGCCTGAAAATTCTCAACCCAACCCAACCCTAGAAGGGACGAGAGCTGGGGCGGGATAGCCCCTTTTTTTTTTCAAACTTATAATTCTATAACATCAAGAAAATGAGAAAAATTTTAAATCAAATATGACAAACAATGATGTTGTTTCAATAACACTAGCAAAAAATCTAGTGTAATTAACATGTATCTCGCATACCAGATACGCGAGCGAGATAAGAGAGTGACAAGCAAGATGTGAGTGAAGTGAGGGCGGGAGATTTGTTTATGTATCCTAAATACATGCAATTCTACTTGGATAGAGTGTATCTACAACAAATTAACCTAATTTTGAATCCATATATTCTGAGATACATGTATCTGAACATACCAAATTCTGATAAGATTCATAATATTATTACAACATAGTGTGTATTTAATTAATTAGATTATATACTAGTGAGATTATTGTAAGTTACCCTTAAATAAAAAGTTTTGGCCATGGGCTGACCCTAGCCCGGCCCCAATCAAGTCTCAAGGGTCACGGGCTTATAAGCCCTAGTTTTAAATGGGCTTGGAAAATTCTATCCCAACCTTATCCCAATAACGGGTTGGGTTGGGTCGGCCCCATGGGCTAAGCCCATTTTGACGGCTCTAACTAGAAGGGTAAGTGTGACCCAATACTTTGATGGGAACGGGTAGTTTGAGCTGAAATATAGTTTAAGAGTAAATTTGAGCTATTTCCGATAGTTTAGGAGTATTTTTGAGCCTTTTCCGTACTTCTAATAATATAATTTAGGTATCATATAGTCATCTTTTCCTGGATATGTGTATATATATGTGTGTGTGTGTTTGCTACATTTGTTTTGTATATTTATTATTTATCGTCTCCTTTTCTTTCTTACCTTCTTGCATTTCATTCTTTCCGAACCCCATTATGTGAAAAGTTGAATTAAAGAGTTGTCCTAAAGAATGAGAATCATTTTTTACAAAAACAGACTAAAAACAAAGACAAACAAATTGAAAAGGAGGGAGTAATATTTGTTTTATCTTTCGCTTGAGCGTTATGGCTTCTTCATAGAGATCTTAGGAGTGTACTAATTCAGCAAATTCAAGTTCTTCCTCCATTTTTTGCTGAGAATCACAATTTATCTACTCTAAAAGAAAAACTAAATAATCTGCGCCTCATTTTGTTAAAGCTAATTCTGCAATCACAAGAAAACTTAAAAACTAATGCCCAGTAGAGAGAATATCATGCTTGAACTCTCTTTATTCAGAACTACAACTCTAACCAAATATTCAAGAGCATGGAACAACCCCACACTCGTTATTCAAGGTTTACTATCAACTGATTTAATCGGTTCTTCACAGACAGGGTTAAGTGGTAATCTCCGATGACCATTGCAGGCGGGCTGTTCCAATGCTCCGGGGGTATTATGCAAGTCCCATTTACATTCTTTGATAGGGTATGCTGGTACCACTTTGGCAGCACTGAGAGCTGCTAGGAATTCTTCATGATCTAATGGCTTCAATCTCTTTGGTTCGTCTTCATGTTTCTCATGGGACCCAAAATGTTGCAAACTTCTTTTTAGCACCTCATCCTTCACTTTCTGGAAAAAGATTAAGAACTAAATTAGCAAAAACTTGGCATTCAAAGAACAGGCGATATTCGCATAAGCATGAGAGCAACTCAAATAATAAAATCACAGTCAGTTGTGTTTACATGGTAATTGAACTTGCTTTGTGGAACTGCCTTTGTGAGAGGATCAACAACATGCTGATCTGTGGGGACTCTATCTATCTTTACATCATGACAATAGGTGTAAATTTCTAATTCTCTTCAACATACACATGTCATCACTATCATCATAAGAGGAGAAGAGGAAGCAGGCAAAGAAGAGAAGGTTCAATAAGACAAGCATCCCGATGTTTGTTACTCATTTCATTCTCTAGAAAGACTGCCATGTCAAGATGCTGATTTCTATGGACTTTAAATAACTTAGTGATCCTATTTCATCTCTGGTAGACCCCATGTCAACATTAGAACTGCAGCTGTTTGCAAGTTTCTGCTTACTAGGCTCCGGACACAAAATCCCTATTAAAATAGCTTGATACAGAAAAAAGTATCTATGTATGATGGGGATAAGCTAACAGCATACCTGACTATTATACTGCAGAATATAAATTCTAGTTCTTTGACAGACTGTTATTAAGATAACATTAAGAGAACATCTTCTAATACTAGTGATAGGATAATGATTTTTCTCTTCAGAAGTTCATTCCAGTTCGACTTTTAACTCTCTGTGGTTTCTATGAACGAACTACTGAACTACAAATGGAGTGCAACAATATGTCTAAGAATTTGAGATCTATAGGTAGTCAATGACTAAGCAAATTGCGCTTCTGCTAACACCCACCAACAATACTGCATTTTCTTTCCCACTCTTATCTAAATTGATCCATGTAAGGACAATATCTAAAAATTCCATTAACTTTGTGTATAGAAATATCTTAAACTTCTCTTAAAATGCAACAGAAGGCAAAGGAAATGGATATTAAGTTATCAACTAATAATTGGAACTCCTCTTTTTTAACAAAAGGCAAAAACTAAATGTAGTTACAATTATATATAACTATTAACAGTATAAGGAAGAAAACTTCATCAAAAATGGTATAAGGAAGAAAAGTATAAGATGGAAAAAACATTAATAAAAGAAATTGCAACATTGAGTGACAGGTAAGAAGAAAAACATCATCTTCCTAATAACTTCCATCCCAAAGAGATCACGAAGTCTTATATGTTATTGACTCTCGTTCATTTTATTTATGAACAACAAAGAAGAGAAATGGAAGGTGTCTATCCAAATGGAAGATGTCCAATGGAGTCTGCTTTTGAATGTTACAGAGTCATAATATAGTAGTAGACTTCTCTGTGTTTAAAAGTAACTCAATTAATAACATCACTTGAACTATCTGCAAAATTCAAATTGCATATTCAGGCAGTGGGACAGAGATAGATTAACCACAATTTGACAGTTCAGTTACAAAACTCTCATTCTTCCTCACCCGGACTAAAAAAAAAAAAGGCAAAAATCTTTAGCACAAACAACTATAAACTTTGATCATGATATTCCATAATAAACTTTTGCAGATTTGAAGTTACTTATTTGTATTTGAAGTTATGGCAGCACTTGAATATATTGTAGTAATCTGTGTTTTTTTATGAAATTCTTTGGTTGGTCTTTCAAAAAAAAAGAAGCTCATCTCTTCATATGCATTTTCTTCCAACAACTTATAGAATTAAAATTAGAAAGAAAACTAAACAATGCATGTATGTAATCTGCTAACTTACGTTCACATAGTTCAACTAGTTTGATTGATCTGTCGTAAGAAGCTCATAAAAGCATTCAAGCATTACAAAATTAATAGTTCGGCACACTTAAAACATTGGCAAACAACAAATGACAATCATAATCAATGGGAGTATCTAAACAACCTGTACCATCCGCGAGTCGAACTTGGGAAGCCCAATTTGCCCTACAGTCAGTGATCCGAAAAAGTTTCCCAGCAATGCAGCATCTGGTACTGCCAATCCATCAACAAGCCCTGCAACTAAACCTCCAAGAAAGCTATCCCCAGCTCCTGTTGGATCAACTTGATAAGCTGGAAAAGGCGCAATGGACAATTCTTCATCTTTAGAATACACTGTACACCCATCTTTCCCTTTTGTCACTACCACACAACACCATTTCCTTGCTTCCTCCACATCCACAAATGGTGCCTCATCCGCGGATGCTTTCAAATACCCAATTCTATTCAACAAAGGCCAAAACCCGGTTTGATTCAAATGTACAAGATTCACTGTTCCATCAACCGGGTCAAATACCCGAATCAAAGCTTGGATATCAACAAACACCACCTTACACATCTCAATCATCCGCTCAAGGGTTTCAGGCAAAATCTCTCCACCAACACCTACGGCCAACCCAAAATCAAATTTTGAGTTCGGGAGATCCGAGGGAGTTACCGGGTCACCTACAGTGACCCGTTTTAAGATGCGATCTTGCTGTGTGCTTTCAGTTGAGAAATAGGCGTGGAAAACGGTGGTTTTGGAAGAGGACGAAGTGATCGGGCGGTGATTAACAGAGTACACAAAATCAGGACCCACTTTAGAAATGTAGTCGGAAGAAACAGACAAACCATCAAGCACGGCGGAGATGAACGACGCCGCTCCGCCCAGCGACTCCGCTATTACGACGTCGTCCTTGATCAGAACATCGTGACAGTAATTCCCCACAATTAAACACCGATGGGTTGTGGGTACTGATGAATCTTTCGCTTCCTTCACCATAATTTAAGCTTCTTTTATCAAAATATTCTACTGAGCTCCGATAAAATCGAAAATGGTAGGGTTTCAACTGAATCAAATAATTTGAATACAGAGTTTTTGCATGGTTTCTCAGTTCTCACCAAAAGAGTGAAAAGGGTATTGAAGATTTGGCAAATACGGCGCAAAGACAAATGGCTGAAAGAGCTACGTGCATAAGCAATTCTGTGTATGCTTTACACATGTGTTTTTGTTGTTATATAAAAGGGAGATGGGAGTTAGGAGAAAGAGTTTTCGATGAAAAATGTAAATTAATTAAGCAAAATAGTGAAGGGGGAATATGTGCTTCTATTAAGGCATTGAAGTGCGGACCTTATTGGAAAAGGATTTGATTCTGTGTCGTGTTCAATTAAAAGTTTTGTCCAGATCAATTTACTGCAACTGGTAGATTCATATTTAAATTCGACATTTGAATACATAATAAAGTATTTTACAACACATGTTTCGTTCAAATTTTAAAATTTTATTGTACGTATTTTCAAACGTATAGTAGGTAATAAGTTAGTTACTTAAAATATATCATATCATATGGTTATATGAAGAGATCTCAAGGCAAGTTCCAAATTGAGCCTAACACATATAATTAAACAAAGCAATGTTATTAATTGAAAATGTTTAAATATACCCTCCAACTATTCGAAAAAATTTAAATATACCCTTCATTCATTTATAGGGCTAAAAATACCCCTCAATCCATCTTTTTGGCCTATTTTTACCCTTAAGACTTAACAGATTTTTTAAAATTATTATTATTAGTATTGTTTATTATGTGGCGTGTTCCTATTGGATAAAATAAAATCCCAACTCACCATTTTTTTCCAACTTGTCCGACCCATACTACATTCCCATGACCCAAATCCAACTAAACACAAATGACCCAAATTTAATACCCACCCTCTTTGTCTTTCTTTTTGGAGCAATTCTTTAAAGGAATCCATGAAGTAGAGGTAGACACATAACCCCCAACTTTCCTCGTAGCCGTCGCCATTAATTTTTTATTTTTTAAATAAAGCAGGTATTTTTCGAAGAACAATTGAATTTTAGTGTGATCATAACGAAATCAGAGAATTAAAAGTTTAAATAGATTATGAATTAATTGAAGTATTCAACTAGATCGGATCAAATACGACAAACCAACTATGAATGAGACTGTATTGGGAGTAATATATTATTTAGAGGGATGATAATTATCCATATAAAGTTCAACAAGATGAAAAAAAAAACAAGGGAGAAATAATTTTTCAAAATTCTTCAATGAATTCGTTTTGGGAATGACGATGAATGATGAGGTAGCCTCTGGCCTCTGCTTCATGGATGGTTTGAAAAATTGTTGCTCCAAGAGGAAGACGAAGAGGTGAAAGATGCTGCTCCAAGAAGAAGACGAAGAGGGTGACCATATTAAATTTGGGATTACTTGTGTAATTGTGTTTAATGGAATTTGGGTCATGGAGTCGTGGATATGAATCGGGGCGGGTTGGAAAAAATTGGTGAATTGGGGATTTTATTTTATCCAATAGGAAGACACCACATAATAAGTAATACTAATAATAATAACTTTAAAAAATCTGTTAAGTTTTAAGGGTAAAAATAGGCCAAAAAGGTGGATTGAGAGGTATTTTTAGTCCAATAGATAGATGAAGGGTATATTTAAACCTTTTCGAATAGTTCGAGGGTATTTTTGACCCTTTTCCGTATTTTATATGACTGATTATCTATGTACTGACACTTGAGAAGAGAGAAACACATTATGTCCTAGTTTAATGGTCTAAACAAAATGTATTAATTGAATTATCTCTTCAACATTATGTGCTCAAATACTTAAATGAATTAAGTCATAGTTTAATGGTCTAAACAAAATTTAAAAATAAATTCGAGGAGTTATCAATGTATTAAGCTTAATATGTACCATCCAAGTGGACAACGTGCTCATTGTTTATTGACCCACGGATATAAAGATTAAAGTTCCCTCTCCTTCAGAAGAAATAAAAAAACCAATTGAATATTTTCATCTTCCTCATCTGATTTCGAAAACTATTTATACCAATTCAGTAAATTCAAAATACTTGCTGAACATACATTGTTTTACTTAATCAAAATTAACATACATTATCAATTCACAAAAATAAATTAGTATAGCTTGGTAATGTAAATTTTTTCCTCTTATTACTTCCATTACTTTCAAATCTATTGTACTTCACCTTAAAAAATATGATATCTTTATATTCTTCACTTTTTATTGAGTATAATTTTGATATCATTTTCATAATGTCGAATTTATAAAGAATCTTTGCCAGGAGAATCCCTAAGCACAACACATAAATGAAAGATGTCACATTCAATAGGGGAACAATCAAATATCGTGACAATTTTTATAACCTATAAGAACGACACACTATATGTAGTATAGAGATGTCGCATTAGCAATCATATTTAATCAACAACAAAGTGATTAATAAACCTTACCAGTAAACAAGATGGTTACCAAGAATTAATATTTCATAATACATTTAGGAATTCCAGTGGAGAGTTTATCATCTCATCATAACAATGCATATCTAGTTAGGTCCATAGTTACAATGGAACTTTCAAGATAATAGAACAATATCAAGTTGAACCAATCCCCCCCATGAAGGTCTTTGGATCAGGACAATTCCCGGAGAATTGTGCCTGTGAGAAATCAAAACCAGGATTCTGCAGAGACGAGATTCTTTGTTATCAAAAGGAAGTCGTCAAATAGTAATTTTTAAATCAGTTCTGGCCTCCAATTTAAAACAGTATGTAGAAGATGCAAAACAGCTCAAGGCAGATACAAGGGTAAATAGCAGTACTCCAAGATATTGACAAGACAAGTCTTTCCTTTAGGGACTGTCTACCCGAGTTCAAGCAATATGTCTGGAAGTATATCACTCATTTGCATCTACAAATTACAAATGCAGAGAGAAACTAAAGGAAGCTAAGCTAGATGTCACGGACTTAGAGTCTCACTAAAGCTCCGTGCGGCACTTGACAACTTACTAATCTTTCAAGATCTTGTAAGCCCTTTGAACTAGGATCGCTAAGAGAAGGCAAGAAAGACGTGGAAAGTTTTGGAAGAGGCTTTGTTATTGCTTGGGGAATGTTTTACAACTTGAGTGATGATTTACAAATGGAAGGCCCTCTATTTATACTACTTCCTAGGGCCTTTGTGAAAATAATAATTACAATACAAGTCCCTCTATATTTACACTTTAATCCACATTCTAGAATTCTCTACACTTTCTAGGAAATTCTAAAGCCTTCTTGAAAATATCTAGGGTTCTAGAGTTTTCCATAAGCCTCTCCACAACTCTAGATTCTTCTCGCCTATTCCGGTGCCGAATTTGAACAGTGAAGTGGCAGGACATGACATAGAGGTACTTAATTTAGTCCAATAGATTATAGATAGATTGCTCATGAAGCTTGAAGCAATACAAATACAGATATACACATACAGAAAAGGCGGATGTGTGACACAACACGTCTTAAATAGTTAATGGAAACAAAACCAGACTGTTAGAGAGAGAATGACAAGAAGTAAACCTTAAAGCAATTGAACCTATGTGGGCTATGGCTTTTGACACTAAAATTTCTGTAACAGCCAAAATTGATACGGAATTGCTAAAATTTAATCATGGAGTCTGGCTTATCAATACTCATACATACAATCCAAAGACCCAAAATATGAGAATGATGTCAATATGAACTGTGGAGTATCATTTTCCAAAAAATACAAAAAGTAACTCCACCTAAAAATGCAAAATAAGGGCCAAAACAACAAGACATTTAACAATTTAACCAAATAAAAAATGAAAAGGTACGTCTAATTCCTTAATTTCAATTACGGGGTGATATGTATACGACTAGAATCCAACTGTTAAATCTTAATGTTTAATTATTGCTAAATCCAAATCAAGCGGTTTAAGACACCAAGCTAATTTTCCAGTTCAAAACTTACAAAGGCTCCAGCAATTTCTCAATGACAATAAATTGAAAATGAAGCCAATTGACATTGGATTGAGTGCTATGCTAAAAAGTTCCAACTACTGGTAAAAATCTGAGAAGGTGAGTAGTGATGATATTTCTGAAGCTTAATGAGTGTATTCGTACATTTAAGAAATCTAATTGGGAGGAGATTCATATAAAGCCTTCCAAATAGTCAAAATCTCTCATACCCTGTTGTTTGACTGGCGACTAGGAGGTTAACTCCTAAGAAAAATGAAAGCAGCAATTGAACAAACAATCTGTCAATAGCCTGCAATCGTTGAGCTGGATCTGCTTTGGAATGCCAGTAAGAACTGCCACAGCAGTACAGCATATAGCAAACACGCCAGACTCACAGACTCCAATGTTTAGCGAGTGAGACTTTTAATTTTACACAGTATATGAAGAAGCAAGCATTTGTTGTTCATTAAAAACTTTTCTCTTATTACATCCATTAAAAAAGGTAATTTCATTGCTTTCAGGAATTTTAGAGCTCCTAGAAACTAATAACAATTTAACAACAGAAGATGAACACATGGGAAGTTATGAACCCAGTCCACATGGAAGCCACTTCGTGGAAAATCATCAGATATATTTAAGTCCAAGAAAACGGTCAATTAAAAAAGCAATCCACAAATTAAACATCAATGCGTAGAAAGGGTCAACCAATTCATGAGTATGGCTAGCCAACCAAGAAGGGCACAATGAGTCAACCAACAAAAGAACAGTAAAAAAAGCAAGTAGCAATTTACTCTTCAATGAATCAACATGAATGAACAGTTTGGAAGTAGAAATCGGGTGAACACTTCAACAGAAGCAACCGCAGGTATTCCAAAATGATGGGAGAATGCAACATATGAAACAGAGATTTTAGTAGAGCTTAATCATATTACCTCTTCTTGGAACCTTTGAAGCATGAGCCTTTTCTGTTCAAGATCACTGGCATATGGATCCAACTGCCCTTGGCCCAATATAGGAGAAGACCATGTCTGACCTTTATCCCTCTTCTGTAAGGTTACATGAAGTATATCATCCTCTGTCATTTACCATCTAAGTTAGAACAAATTTATCGGTATACTAGCTATTAGTAGCAATTTATCAATGATCGTTCAAACTAATCATATCTAAACCTCATAAGTTCCATAGAACTGAAAAACACTTCACAAAAATATACCCAACTACAACTTACAACAGCTGATTCTTATAGCTAATAATTGAGCTGACTCGACTAGACTCCGTGTTCTGAACTAATTAAGTTCAAAGCCTTTAACTTTGCTAAGAATTTCAGGGACATTTGACCACTAGTATTTTATATGCTCAAGACTACATGAGTTTCTTCACGCTGTTCACCTAAAAGAGAGACCACTGTACCAAGTGACAATCATCAAAAGCAGTGTGCCAGCAATTGATATCTGTTACCAACAACTACAAAGCAACAATCGCAAACTAGCAAGGTAAGCTATACAAATCCCGTGTATCCATTTTTCCAGTTCCATAGAGATTTTGTTACCAGAATTAAAGAAAATCTTACCCTTATTAAGGAAAATAATAAATTACCTAGAGTCCAGAAGGAACAATCGGTCTTCACTGGGTTCATAAGATCATGCTGCAAAAAAAGAAAAAAAAATTAAAGGTGAAAATACTAAATTATTAGCTTACATAAAACTAAAAGTTGAAGAACTTACATTAAGGTAAGGTGGGTTGCCTTTGATCCCAACTTCCAAATGCTTAGACTCAATCTTGCAATAAAAAAGCTTCTTCGGAACATTTTCTGGAAGAGTTATGTAAATGTTCAATTCTTCAAGCGTTTGGTCCCATTCGAACACCTTCTGGCCTGAAATTCAATTGTCAACTCCACAATCAACCTTATCATTTTTCATATGCACAAAATAGTTAGTAGTAGACGAGGAAAATGAAAAGGAGTTAGAAATACCATTATGGACGAAGCTATGACGTTTCTCAGGGGCCAATTTTTCAGCCATTGATTTTAGGGTTCAGTTTCTGATTTGGGTAATTTTCTCTGATTTTTGTTCTTCCTTGTCGCGGAATTGTTCTTTGTTCCGGGTATCTGTCTTCCTGGCTGGTTCTCGTGGTCACTGGTCTCGAATCTTCTCGACCCGGTCCAACCGGGTAAGGTATGTCTGGACTGTCTTAAGGTATGTTTGGTCAAACTTCTTGAAAGTAATTTTTCTTCAACTAGTATTTCAAGTACGGAAAGTTGCACATCTGATCGGTAGGTCCAAAATAATTATATTTTTTTAGTTAAATATTTATATATATATATATATATATATATATATATGAAAAAAAACGTATATTAAAAAATAAGCATAATACATAATACATAAACATGTTATTTAATTTAGCCTATATTTATGTCTTCTAAATTTAATTGTGCGCAAGCATATAGTCCAACTTTAAACAGTTTGGATGCTTCATTTATTGTGTCAATTATTCCTCATTGATTAAAAAGAGAAATATTATGTATTTATAGACTGACGGACTCTCCCACATACATAGTAGACCAATCCTTTGGGTTGTATTCTCCTAATCAATCTATAATAATTAGTATGAAGTAGGTCAATCAACTCGAATTTAAGTGTCACTAGAGATGTAGATAGAATTTTGAATTTAAGGGTTCTGAAGTTGCGGAACCCATAGACGAGGCAATAGCTCTACGTCTGGATGTCAAGCATGGAAATGGCACGGATCAAAGAAGTTGCTTATTCAACTTATACCACTTTAGGATTGGAGTAGTAGTTACCTAAATATGACTATGTACAAAAGCGGATTTTAAAGTTTAAATCAGTGAATCATTATCACTGCATTCGTATTAATTTAATTGTGACAATGAATATGAATTTAGTGTAAGGTTGATTAATGTATCAAGAAACATCTCACTCAAAAAGATGGAAGGCAAAGGAGTTTATCCTATCCCCTGCAGAAATTCGAGTGACAATGAAAAGAAATTATCATTTAACAAGTGCATTGCATGTGTTTAATCCTGTCTAAGCAATACCCTGCACTAATCATGTGTAATATCCTGCACCAAGGCAAATAAAGTAAATTTTTCTCTACTACAAAGCAAAACCTCTTATCTAGATGAGTTCATAGTTTGAATACAAAGTGGAGCTTCATTCACCATGTAGGGCTTTTCAAGATCAGCAATCTACTCATGCCAAAAAAGCAATAACAATCTCATCATCTTTTTTGGAAGTTGAGAACTTTGACTGATAATGCAAAGACAGTGAAGAAGAGCAAGCAAAATCCAACAAGTATCAGAGCTGACCACCCAATCCATCCAGGTCCAAAACCTAGACTGACCTCCAGGTACTCTTTCACAGTGCCTTGAAATCCAGGTCCTGTCATTATTTCTTCTACATCGCCAAGTTGAGAGCTAATAATGCCCCGCAACGTCCATGCCACTGGGCTGATGTAGTAGAACCATATCCACCATCCAGGGATACTCTACATTGCATAAGATAGAGAAAGACAATGCAAATTATCATAAAAGGATCCAAAAAACTGATTATTTATCCTACTAGCTTTGCAGGAAACCATGCAATCTACTACACTTAAATACAATTGCAGTATCCGAAAAACATGCTCTTATGCAATAGTCCAGAATTTTAACTTAATGAGTCCAACTAATACTTTAGCACTGAACTCCTCGTGCTTCAGAAATTATGAGTTCAAAACTTAATATTTGTCGAAATTTTAGTGATTACTATGTTAAGTTGAACTCATACAAAAGGTCGCATCAGCTTCTGCAATAAGCCACAGTTTAATTGACAAACAAAAACTGGTTCCAAGTTCTTTCCTGCTTTGATAATTACTGTATTTAACAGTTGAGCTAAACTTTCCTATTTCCATTCTTTTACAACAGTTCAAAAAAGGAAAGTATTACGTACTTCTCAAAATCATGATCACCTGTGCGTTAAAGATAATAAAACTAGGTGATTTTAGGACAGGAATTGTAAAATACGAGTAAATTGACCAAATAAACTTAGGTTGATTAAAATATATTATTTAAATTGGACCGTATATATAAAATTATTTGAAAGCTAATGTGGCTCTTCATCATCCAAAACCTCTCTTTTCTAAGAATGTATACTCAAGAGAGTGAACCTACTATTATTTACATTTTTTGGTCTGCAAATGTGTGCATGTATATATCCAATAGTCCCCGACTTAATTCCTATAAGCAGACAAAAGAAATTGGAACAATAATTTTCTTAAGCACGCAAAACTGCTGTAATTTATGATGAGTATATGCTGAGGAAAATAGTACTCACAGGTTTTGGAACAAGAAAGCCAGACATGAGGTTCCACAGCGAATAAAATGCAGATGAAATGACAGCAGCCAAATGTGGAGTTGGCGTAAGACCAACAGCCATCATACCGTAAAAGGTGAAATAGCTGAATGTCAGAAACATGAACACTAGATATAGGAGAAATTTTTCTGCAAAATACCAGCAAAACCACAAGTTAGATTATCTGACAACCAAGTATAAACAGCAAGGAGTTTAACTTAGTTGCTATGAGCACAGTTCATGAGGAAGAACATGGAATAATGTAATAACATATCGGAATTCAAAACGAGTAGCAACAGAAAGATGCATATTAAATACATGAATTGAAGTTGATGGTCCAAATGTCAGAGGAAAGATGTACATCTCAACTAATTTTCATTGATATAGAAAGGGCTGAGATTCCAATGGCTATTGGTTACATATGCATCTTTATTTCTAGGTTAACATGTTAATTAGTGTTACCAAGTTTTCTAGAGATAAACAGAATGTTCACTGGGTAAAACCAAACCTAAATTGCTTACCTCCATGCAAGAAGCACTACTGCATTTTCATGAATTATTTTAATAATTTCTCAACATAAACTGCAGTAATTACTAGAGAAGCAAATCCATGAATCAAAATAAACAGATATAAGCTGCAGACTCCAAACGAAAAGGGAGATCACATTTTGCCCACTGCTTTTGGAACTCTAAATATTTAGGCATGCTTTGAATAGTGCAAAGCAGCATAGTGAATCAACTACTGCTTTACATAAAAAGAGAATATGAATGTATGGTAAGTTCCTGTAAAACATCAGAAAATGATATATGCGATATTGGTCTTTGACATGTTACACAAATACACTTCCATAGAAAAGCAGATGTAATCCTTCAGGGTAATATTCAGCAGAACGGTTTCTAGAAAAAACAACCAGAATGGCAGATGAACCCATTACTTGAAGAACTAAGGATAGGCAAAAGCAAAGAAAATATGGAGTTGATCATGAAAATTAATTCCTTAGGTTCATACCAGCTGTCCTTTCAAAGTTGATCATCAAATATGAAATGATTCCAAATAGTAATGTCTGCATGAAGATGTATGGAATTTCGACTAACCCCTGTTTGCCAAAAAAGAAGAAGTTGGTATTAGTACACAATCTCATCATCTCTTCTAAAAGCAGTTCATATACCATCTTATTGAGTAGTTCAAGAAATACCAACATACTATTATTATATCTGTTGCAACTCGAAGCAATTAAGATGTACTTGATGTGAATGTACTAACCTGAGCTGCTGCATATGGTAGAGGAGAGTACATTCCAGCAGCCTTCTCCCTGTAGAAAACTGTTCTCTCAATGGCAACTATTGGCTGTACAGAAGAAGCATTATTGACCCCCAGGAACAAGCATGAAGAATAAAGTGCACCCATAACAACGAACAAATTTTGAGTGGAGTCCCTGTGGAATCATTTCAAGTGTACTGCCCCAGTTAATAATTTGAGAATTGATCATAAAATTGATACAATCAAGGCTCTAATATTTAATCCAAGTTTGGAAACTGAAACCTTAGAAAGGTCCTTATTGCTAGTTTACTTGCTGGTTTTCTCTCACTGTGTTATTTTGCATAGTTCTGCTCTTTCAATCTGGCAATCCAGCCATTTTGTCCATAGAAGTTACTTCTATATCATTAAATAAAAAAGAAAAAAGAGCAGCAATCTTGTACTGTTCTCATTTATCCTTCTTGAAGAATCCCCAACAAAGAGTATGTAGGGGAAGTTGTTCTACAACTACATTGGAAATAACAAGCAACCAACTGTGTCTGCTTTATAAAGACTGAAAGAATTATCCAATAGTTTGCTCTAGATATTTCATAAGAGAAAAGTTACCTTTTTGAACCGACATCCCAAAATATAGAACCGAGAATCAGAGCACTCAACGTTGTAAAGAACAACCTAACAGCATTATAAGTCGGACTTCTCCAATACACAAGATTTTGCTTCCAGAGACAGATCCTAAACTGAGAAAATGCACCTTGACTGTATGTGCTGGTGAACTTTAGAGGTTCTGAGTTCTCAGGCGGGACGCTCAGTTGCTTAATTAAGGCCTCCACTCCCCTAATTTTAGAAAGAGATACAAGTTCTACAAATTGTCAATAAAGGAAAAATGAAGAGAGCAATAAATAGTATACTTCAGGTGATGAAGACATTTATTAAGATCACCTGAACTGCTCAGAATTTCTGTATATTACTGCAAAATCTTGTCCCATCCTTTCTTCAGCAGCTGGCGTACTTATCTCAAGCATCCAGGTTGCAGGATTGTAACCACTAGGAATTGGGGGTATCCCAGGAATACTCTACAAAATATATTCACAAACACGTGCAGCATGAACAATAGCTTTTGAAAAGTGAGCAACCAAAATATAGGAACTATGCCTCATATAATTGAACTCTAATTGTGTTTTTTTTTTCAATAAGGAAAATGCAATCTGTTTCCTTTTAAGTACAATCAGATTTCAACTGTATTAACAGATGAACAATCCATATACAGAGACCACAATGGAAATATCTTGTGTAATTAAATTAGTAGTAACTACTTCAAGATTAAAATCGACGGCGAAGCAGTGGAATGTGGAGAAATATTAGTGAGGCATCCCCACACCTCTGCACCAAGAAAAGGGCTAGAAGAATCTTCTTCTTAATTTTAAAGTTGTAACACACACTTTGTATCTCTTGAAAATCGAGCACAGTTGAATTAATTATACTAAGTGAATGGTGGAGGCACAAGCCCGTACCTGAAAGTAGTCAACCATAGTTTGTGACTTCTCCCCAAGCTTCCCCCCATATATCACTTGTCCTCCACGTTTCATAAGAAGAAGCTACATGTTGTAACATCACATGAGCGGATGCCCTGGCGGTCATGTAACCTATCTATTATAGAAATGCCTTGATAAACATACCTCATCAAATGCTTCAAAAATTTCGATACTTGGCTGATGGATTGTGCAAACAACAGTTCTGCCAGTGTCTACAGTATTGCGAACAGTTCGCATTACAATGGCTGCTGCTCGTGCATCAAGCCCAGATGTAGGCTCATCCATGAAAATTATCGAAGGATTTGCCACAAGTTCTACTGCAATTGTCAAGCGCTTTCTTTGTTCTGTTGATAAGCCAGAACTTCCAGGCAAGCCTACCAAAGCATTCTTTAGAGAGTCAAGTTCCACCAAATCCATTACCTCCTTAACAAACTCCTGCAGAATAAGGAAGTCAAATGAGTTTAGCATTTAATCCAAAAGATCAAACATATTGAAGTTCAGAAGATAAAAAAGTAAAACGGCAAGCCAGTTGCTACTACCTCTCTTTGTTCCTTATTCACTTCTTTGGGAAGACGCAGATAAGAAGAAAACCATAGGGATTCAAAAACTGTGACTTGAGGAGAATGTATATCATTTTGTTCAACATATCCTGAAACTCTAGCAAAAGTCTCTTGTTGTTTCAGGTATCCTGATATCTTAATGTCACCCTCTATATATCCAGAAGTTTTCCTTCCAGCTAGGCAATCCATCAATGTGGTTTTTCCTGCTCCGCTCGAACCAACCAATGCGGTAAGAACACCAGGAGAGAATACTCCACTAACACTCGACAGTAGTTGCAGCTTCTTTTCAGGTATTCCTTCTGAACTCATTTCCTGAAACAGTACATGTCTTCTGCTAGAAATGATACGATTCAACATGTACAGGTAAACAAATTTTCAGTATAGATACCTTTGGCATGTCAACAAAGTATTTGACATTATGGAAAGTCATTGCCAGTGGTTGGAATGGCAGTATCATCCCCTTTTTTTTAGTCATCCCCGGGTCAGGGTCCCCATTTGACTCAGAAGTCTTACTAACTCCTGCCAAACATATCATAAATGGGTAAGATGTACACATTCCATTCATCCATGAGAAGAGGGGATAATTTACCATCTGTACCCACTGCTTCTGGTGAGACAACTGCCCCGGATTTTCTTATTGCTGAAAGAGAAAAAAGAGAAAAACAAAGTCTAGTAAATACTGGCAACTATGTGTTGGCAATTCTAAATCTATAATACAAGAGTTCAATATCACTTACGGTTGAGAATAGCCAAGGCTAGAGTCAGAATAGCGTTGAAAAACACAATGTAGAGCAATAAAACACCTACTCCCAGCCAATACCAGCTATTGGTTGTTGGCAGGCTGTGCGATCGCAGAACGGCATTCCCAAGAGTTATGTTTCCAATGGTTATCTTCTACAAAATTTCAATTTAAATGATCCAACTGATTAAGCTTCTAGAATATATTATTGCTCATTCCATTTATTTGTTTTATCTATAACTAACACATCCAGCATTCCCACGGTATAGAGAGCACACCTCCGTCCATCGTGTGGCAGTAAATTCATTAACTGAAATAGCTCGTTGTCCATATGTCAATGGTGAAATCCAAAAGGCCCATTCCCACCATGGCTTGATCATTCCTGCAAGGATAGAGACTCCATTTCAATAAATGAATTCCTGCTACAAACTAAAGAAAAGTTCAACCTTACCTTTTGGCACGATAAAACCGCCCGATAAAAATGTGATCAGCAGTGCAGCTGATGCAAATGTATTTGAGACAACCAAAACTCGTGCAATAGAAGCTATTGATCGAAAGAGACCCATTCCCATCTGGTGTACTACAAAGAGTGTAAACATGTAGCGGAAAAACCTGGAACATTTAAAAGGGGATATAAGTAGAATAAACAATCTACTGTAGCCTTGTCTGTATGTCTGGTGAAAAAAAAAACTCAACATGCCAATTATCCAAAAAAATATAAAAGAAGAAGAAGAAAACAGAAACTGAACATACCTCCCAGCACCAGGTGCGAAACCTACACTCCAGTACACAACAAAAGACCATACGACAGCTTCAATTACAGAGTAAGGTAAACGCAGGATCCAACTACACAAGGACCATGACCATGCAGGATAAAACATATTATCTCTTTGCTTATAGAAGACTGGGAGGCGAAATATTAAGAGAGGCAGTTCTGAAAATCCGTTGAACATCATATGAATCAAGGCGAAAAACAAACAAGAAAGATACAAGTTGCCGTTCGTCAAATCCGTGGGATGTATCCGTGTTTTTAGAAACATTGTGCATGTTACAAATCCAACAAAAGCAACCTGTAAAAACACATGTATGAAAAGTCTGTGATACATCAAAATTAAGAGACTAACAACTCTATAGATATGCTGAATCTGAGAAGCTATGGATGGAGGGGCCGCTATGGAGTTTAAGAAATAACTTGATGAACTAATCAAAATCATTTGAAGAATTGGAAGTGGCACAAATGACATGTTCTTGGAAGCTTCCATTTATACATCCACTTCTATACTGGCCTGAAGGACCAAATGCATACTTGAATACGAGGTACAATTGAGACTTCAACTCTCTAACAGCTCAAATACACTGATAGTTTTCTCCCTCGCATTCTCAATCATAGAACTTCACGATGGACAGAGTTACATTATTAGCTACGGGTTTAGATGAAACCAATAGTTTTTGCTTAGAGAGTATACTCGTATCATAAAATCTATGAAATATGTATAAATATTAAATTGCAAAGCCAAAAATTAAAACAAGCTATTGGATAAACTTCAAATCTTGCTCCGCCTCTAATGCATTTGAATCTTCTTGAGAAATCCCTTGATCGAATTTAGATGGTCTTATTTGACCAGCTTGGAGATTTAAAAATAAAATTTAGATGTGTAAATGATGAGTAGGTGAAGCAGAAAGACCAATACTTTAAAGAAAAAAGGAACAAAAGTCTCAGTTTACGTTATTTTTAATTTTGAAATTGAAGGCAGAAAATGAAAAAAATGTGAATCAGATTGGTATAAAGAATGTAAACTTACAGGCATACCTGAAACGTTCTGAAGATATAAAGAAAACTATGCCTAGTCATTAGAAGCCACTCTCTCTCGAAACAAGCTTTAAAGAGATCCCATCTGGGAATAGCAAACTTTGTTGTAGATAGAGCTGAGGGATGACCTTTGGATCTATCATATGGAGTAGAAAGGAAGGACTTTATATCCTGACCATATCTGGAGTTCCTAAACGCTTCGGCAATTGCATGAACAGGAATGAATTCATATGGTCTGGAATTATCAGCCCAGTATTGTGCCTGATCCTTTCTTGAGGTAACCTGCGAAGAGACCAGTTAAAGTACCAAATACACCTTGGGGCTATAAAGCACCAAATGAAAAGTACCTCTTGAAGGAAATCTGCAACGCCCTTACGGGGTGGCAATCGAAATCCTAATGATTCAAAGAATTCAATAACATCTGCTTGGGGACCATGGTACACGACATAACCTTCAGAGAGTAATACCAGATCATCAAACAATTCAAAAGTCTCAGGTGCAGGTTGAAGAAGAGCAATCATCAACGTTGCGTCCATTAAATGAACAAAATTTCTTAAGCACTTGACAATTTGGTACGTCGTGGAGCTATCAAGTCCAGTAGATATTTCATCCATGAAAAGTGTTTTCCTGGGTCCGACAATCATTTCTCCTGTGTATGGAAACCATTATTAGCAACTATTTATGTAGCCACATTTTTCTCCCTTCACTCGTCCAGAAAAAAGAGACTGGTGGGTGAATTCTGATATTTCAGGCTATCTCACTTAGTTCAAGCACCCCAACTATTATAAGGAAACATGCCAGCTCATAAACAAACAAAATTTATGCATAGGTTACTTTAATTTGCCTTACAATTAACACCAAAATTATGAATAATCTCTGGAGGTCAATATTTGCTCCATTACAACCAGAATTATTTAAGAGAGTGAGGATATACCTGTCGTAACTCGCTTCCTTTGTCCACCTGAAACTCCTCTTATCATGTCATTGCCAACAATTGTATCTGAACATACATCTAAACCAAGAACTTTCAAGACGTAATCTGTAGACACGCTGTGCTTCTTACCACCAACAGAAGATGCCTGACCAGTCATTGATTGCAACAAATACCAACATGAAAATTACATAAAACATCATGAGATCCCATATAACATGGGTGAACTAGCCTGGCAGATAGAGAAACTCAAATCAAACCTTCATATATGCGTCTATTTCAGAGTTTGGACGTATACTTCTTTCCTTCTCTAAACGATCAAGGTCTTTCATATATTCTGCAAAAGAAATTAACAGGGCAGGTTTGGGAATGAAAGATGTTATGTCATATTAGATAAACCTTAATTGGTTCTGATTAAGCAGGCAAAATGGGATATATATCAATCACTAATTACATGAGAAGAAACATATTTCCTTTGCTCAAAAATAGATTAGGAAGATAATATCTGGAAACTTAATGCTCTTAAGTCTTAACACACTGCTTATTTGTCCACAGAATACGCCCTGGGTGTGGCAAGGTATTAGCTAAGACTCCTACCTATATTTCCCCACTAGACTAAGTTATGGAACTAGATAAAAGGCTTCATTAATAACATGCCCAAAAACAGCAGAGGAATTCCAAAAGTACCTATATATTCAATTCCATTTTGCTTTGGTCTTATCTTATTTCTGTAAAACCTTCACAAAAAAAATGTTGCAATAGTCCTTTTATTCTTTTATCTATCTCATTGTCAAATGACAATGAAGAAAGGATAACATCTTGACTTCCAGAAATTAGGACATTTTGCTGTTCAGTGCTATATATTTCCTAAGCTTTTTGTTTAGGAAGTAATTTCCTGGGCATCTTTTCCCTTTGTGTTGTTTCTATTCAAGACATAAGGTTGTCAGATACAGTTCTCTCAATTTTGATTTCTTTTTTTCTAGTTAAGTTGGGGGAGCAGGGAAGGGCTTTGATTTTTTTGCTTATGCGAATGGGTTCTGCTTAGTTCATTTTTCTTCCTCAAAGCCAGCTAATAATAGTACATGTAAATGCAGAGAGAACATGATATAACATGGTTCAGCAAGCTTACTTGTGCAGCATAACACATCTGTTTACTAAGTGATACTCGCATTACAATTAAAATATGAAAGATTTCATGAAAGCTGTGACAGACATCTGCACAAGTAAAGAGGAAACCCATGCCTTGTAAAAGGAAAACTGGTCAAGTACATGAAGTGGAAATGTTTAGACAAACCTCCAAATCCTTGACTTGCACCTTGGCATCTAGCAGCAAAATCTACAGTTTCTCTTACAGTTAACTCAGCAATATGATTATCTGTCTGACTTATGTAAGCTGAAGTTCTTTGCACACAAAATTCATCCAGCTTATGTCCATTATACGTGATAATCCCTCTTTTCTGTAACAAAGAGTTATGTAATTATATTTGGTATTGTTTTTTATTATTGTAGTTCAATGGAACACAATGTCTCCAGAGATCTTCTTGAAAGAAGTAAACTGAAGTGAAGGTAATTAAATACATGGCGCAAGTTAGAAAGGATAGGCAATGCAGTGAAATTATCAAAGAAAAGACATAACGTTAAATTAAGCTAACAAAATACTTAATATCTGATCAGGATTCATATTTGCCTCTTTTTGCAATATTCCCAGAACTCCTACCTTTTAATGCCCTAGTTACACAGCATTTCAAGGACATATGTTATTAGGCTGATTAAACAAAAAATGGAGCCACTAATGTTCCCAAGATGATGATTTGAGATAATTATCTTGAATGTCAGATGTATAAATCAATAAAAGAGCTTATAGAATCATTGAATCTTTTTAGAAGAACTCCACGTCTATTAAGGAAGACAAGGATTATGAATCCAAAGGCAATACAAGAGAAAGGCTGGTACTCACCTTTAAGCTATTATCAAGCTTCCCTGAAAGAGCTAAAAGCAATGAAGTTTTACCAGAACCAGGAGGTCCAAGGAGCAGTGTCATCCTAGCAAGAGCAATAAAACAATGTTTCATTATATGCAACTGTTTGGCAATCTAATTACTACTAACTATAAGTTGCGGAGTATATTTGACTATGTTTAGGACTAAGCTGTTTTTACTTTCAGTAGGTGAAATATTTAATTTTTTTCTGTTAGATAGGTAGTATAAATTGTCAAAAGGTGCAGTATTGTACACATTAGTGTCCAACATTGATCAAGCCAGTAACCGCTTTCAAAGAAAACATGACCACTATCGATCCTATCCTGGTGAACTTGACACAGTGGGGGACCAGGTTTTGGCTAGTTCGATATTCCTACATTGGATGAATTGTTTTCCCGCTTACTACATCTTACTGCTCCAAGCTAGTCATACACTGATCCCCTAACCAGCGGTCAATTCTTCTGTTCTAGCATCTTAAGATATCGATTCCATCAACCAGACACATAATATCCAGGCTGAATAACCTTCCAGACTTCCATTTTTAAAAAATGGGGGTAGGGGAAGGGGAAATGTGAAGCAACAAGGTGAATGTTTAGGTAGTCAACCAACTGAGTTACTACGATTCTCCCTTCCAGATTTCCGGCGCATATGTAGGTAATAGCAAATTTGAAATATGTTTGTTAAATATATAATTAAAAGCTACCAACATAACAGCAACACTTCTTTCATACACAAGTTAGTTATCAGAAGTAAGAAAAAAAAGAAACAAAGCTTACCTCCCAGGTTTTATAACACCACTCACGTTGTTCAAAATGGTAAGAGAGTTTCTCTTAGGACGGAATATCCTCAGTCCAGTCAATATACTCTGTAATTCATAAAAATACATTTAGAGAAACTATCATAAGCTATAGTCTAAGGTAGAAGAATAACATAGAGACTTGGTGTGGCCTAGTGGTCACTAAGGTGGTTGAAAACTGAGATCTCAGGTTCAAAACTCAGTAGCTATAAAACACACTAAGTGATTCTTCTTATTTGTCCTAGTCTTGGTGGACAAAATTACTAATACCTATTGGTCATGGAAGGTGGCAGGTATCCATGGAATTAGTCTGCAAAAGATGGCCCGGACACTGCAGTTAAAAGAATAACGTAAGAGAATTAGTTGCACGATTGAATGATTTACCTCGATGACATCACGGACTGAATTCACCAAAGTAGGCAAAGCTCTGGAGCCAACAGTCACATTTGCTGTGAGTGTTATATCCTCATATCGAACTTCAACTTTCGGAACCTCCAATCCCACACTTTTTCCAGAATGAAAATTTTAAGCCATTATTAATTAGATATAAATTTTAAAATTGCTAGTTATGAAAATTAGAAAAAAGAATAGTAAGAACGCTACTTTACATTTAATTCCTTAAGATTATGCCATCTACGAGTAGACTACAAGTTTATACTTTATAATCTACTACTTTACAATAATTTTGTGTCTACTGTATGAATCTCAATTCTCTATATAAATCTCAATTCGTGTCATTATTATTATATCAAATAAAAATGAAAAATCCATACAATGATGTTCCTCGCCATAAACAGAATATCTAATAACAACGGTGTAAATTAAATCTACTTTATTTGGAAACATGCATAGTAATTAAAAAAATAATTTAAGGATTAGAATTGTTAATTAATCAAGACTAATCTAGAAAAAAGAAATTATTTTATTATTTATAATTTTATAGTTCTGCAGGTTCAATTTAATGTTCTAAATTTAATTCAAGTGCATTCAAGCAAACTGTTATTTTACGTATATTTTGCTTCAAGTGATTATATAAATCTTCCTCTAAGTTAGATGCATAGACTATAAAATTGTACTGGTAATTTTCATGCTTTTTGTTTATGTGAATTGTGATCTAATAATTTTTAAGAGCATTACAACTTCAAGATTAATAGTTACGTTAACTATCCTGATTTTATTGTCTATTTATTTATGAACAGTTTATAACTTTTATTTTGTACTATTATATATGTGATCGAACATTATTTGATTTTGTATTGGGTTAATTAGCCTAACTCAACTGTAAAATTAGGTCTTGGTAACAATTCACGCTCCAAAAGCTAGCTCAAATATGTTGGGTAACAAACCTATCCCACATCGGATGGAGAAAAAGAAATGTACCAATATATAAGTGCTCACCCAACTCTATTAGTATGAGGCCTTTTGGGATGTGCCCAAAAACAAATCCGTGAGGGCTTGACCCAAAGCGAACAATATCATACTAATGTGGAGTTAGGGTGGTGGTACGCGCGGTCCCAACAAAATAAAGGAGAATTGCATAAGTCAGAGATCACGCATTTCATTAACCGTGAGCCTTATAATTAGTTCTTTCATGCCCAATGTTGCATGTGCATGTGCAATTTTTAGTTTAGAGCTCAACAATGGATGATATGAAACCTGAATTAAGTGTTGAATCTACCTCACATTTCAAAAAGTTAGCTCACCAAGTGGAAAATTATCAAAATCTTATAAAGACAACCCCCATCTCACATTTCGTTTTTTAACAAACTCAGGTTGGCCCACGGCCTAATGCTCGATTCAACTTTGCCAACTAAAAGTGAGTTAGTTTCATAAAACTGGGACTTCACCAACACGAATCAAGCAGCAAAATTTGCAGAAATATTTCACTATCTAGTAAAAAAAAATCAAAGAAGTGAAATAAAGAATATGAAACACACATTGCGATTCCTGTATCTACAAAATTTCAGAAGAAAAATCCTTTTAAAATAATTGAACTCAAAATAAAAGAAATCTGAATTACATTAGATTCATGCAGAGATAAACTTAATTGTATGCACATTCGCAACATCAATAGAGAGAGGTATGAGTTGAAAATTACCTATCGAGGCGCTCTTTTACGCCGGCAAGCAACTTATAATTATCCTGTTCAGTAGTCGCCATTGCTCTATCGACGACAAGCTGTCGAGTGTTCCGATCAAGATTTCTCACATCGACGGTGTCATGACTCCTCCCTGCGCTAGATTCCTCCTCATTCCGCTTCACCAAAGCGAAATTCGTTCTCTTCCGCGTCGGCAATTTCTCTAACGCTGCCCACATCAACTCATGCTCGTCTTCCTCCACCGACTCCGCATTCGACCGGCGACCAAAACTCTCATTTTGTGCCTCCACATCTAAATCAAAAAACTCACTCCCGTTCGATGCCGCCATTTCAAACAAATTAATCAACTACAGTTTATAAACAATATCCTCCGATCACAGTCTCGATCGACCTCCGATCAAGCTGAATATGAGTGATCAAACCTATTCCTCTTACGACTATTTTCGTGTAATCGTATTGTTGTTATGCAGTTATGCATGTTCTCCCAGTGGGCAATGTGAAGCAGGAAGAGTTTTGGACGAATTTTGAAGTCCGATCCTTTTCCCTAGCATTTATTTCCTCTTTGTACTCTGACGAATACGAGTCTTTCTGTTAAAGCGGGACATTGTCACTCTTCACCTACATTTATGGGATTTCGAAGGAGTTCAGAATTACAAATATGTCCAATCGGCGAAGGAAGCATGACTTTCCTCCTGACGTCTGTATGGGTAGTTACCGGTTGTTTTAATTTTGACCTCTTCTTGCGATCACCAGTAGTATGACACGTGGCTATCTGCATTCGCGTTTTCTCAGTTACTACTTTTTAATTTTTTTCTAAAAAGTTAGGAGGCATGATAACCGATTCAGTTTTGCAGCATACTCCCTCCCTTTCTTTTCCCCCCATTTATGTGATATACTGTCTAATCATTTCATATAAAATTTGAAAAATAAGATTTCTAAAATACATACTGATCATTCGTATGGTTATGAATTATAAAAATGTAGCATTTTTGGAGAAGGTACCAAAAAAATATCACATTAACTTAAATTTATATATTGGATGAGTAAAAAAGAAATGAAATGTATAAGAAACAACAAAAATCAATGGTTTATGTTAAAGAATGACAAAAGTCCCATACATATTGGTGGTAAATGAGATGGATAGACTCCTTATAAGGTTTGGCCAATCCTCCTCCCTTTGAGCTACCTTTTGGGGTGTGAGTTAGACCCAAAACTTAATTTAATAGTTTACTATCAAAGAATGTGGCGTGGATGAGACTGTTTCTTCCTTAATCAGAGGTAGCGCTTCCACTCGAATGGAGTCCTAGCTCCTGCAATGTCTGTCTATCCAGTGTGAATCCAGAATAGTCGAGCTTCTATGTGGATACAGGACACAAATTGGAAAATAAAAAAATAAAAAGGTTTCAATGATTTTACTCAAATTAGATATACCTACATATGTATAACTACCTACCGAGTGAGTGTATATTTTTCAAAATGTAAATAGATTTTAGTCAAAATTCACACATGCAATTTTTGTATACATGTTTTTCAAGTTTTGATTATGTGAACGTGCATTGTATGTTAGTATTGTGGTAATTATTGGAAATTTTCATCCAGAAAGGAAGAATGGTTATAGAAAGGTAACTAATAATGTTACAATATTAATGATAGGTACGTGTATTGAATCGTGACGTGTTGTAAAAATATCAAAGGCAATAATAACAACTAAAAGAAATTTGCATATTAACCAACTTAATTACAATAAGTTTTGGTCCTTTAAATTAATTATGCATTACAGTGTTTGAATTTCACTGATTTCAATTTAATACTACATCAAATACAATAGGCTCAGGCAGAAATTACATGATTCATAGAATCACTACATTTGAGGTCAATCTTTGCATAAATCGTAATAATAATAACAATATATTAATTAATGATTTAAGAATATAAAAAGAAAAGGTACGTGTACCATGCATCATAAATGCGGTGTTTATTTAGAACTCTAATTCTAGACAAGAAATTAATATACTACCAAAATAAAAAAGAGTAAATCACCAATTTAAATTTAAGGGAATTATTATACATTTAAGATCACTTCTCACAATCCATCTACACCCTAAGAGGTCGTTTGGTAGAGTGTATAAGAATAATGCTAAATAGAGTGTATTAGTAATGCTTGTATTAGTAATGCATGTATTAGTTATGCTTGCATTAATTATACATAGATTATTTTAATCCATTGTTTGGTTTGATGCATTAAAAAAATTATTTACAAAGATACCCTCCACTTTCATGGTGGAAAAGATGTAAAAAAAGTTTTGAGGGACAATTGAGTCTTTTATCATTTTAATGCACGCATTAAAACTATTGCATTGCTAATACCTAGAAATCCATGGTATTAGCAATGCACACCTTATACATAGGTTGAAAAAGAGTACCAAGAAAGGTACTAGTAATAAACAAGGCTAATACATGCATTATTTTTCCTAATACGCTCTACCAAACGACCCCTAAAGGTGTAGATTAAATGGAGGCATTGATGAAGATCGTGACAATATATTATTTGATGATAAGTCCTCCAAATTGCTACTCTCTTGCTAGATGGTCTACTTTATCCACCATCTTTACTAAACATAGATGGTCCAAAATAATTATTATTTTAAAAAATTTAGATATAAGTAATATATCTCTATTCATTTTTACTTGTTCATTATACTAAAAATATATGTCTATTTTATTTGTCTAGTTTTTTTCCTCCAAATTTTTGGCTTTATTTGTCTAGGTTGAAAAAATCAAGAGACAATTTACCATTCTATACCTCTATTTTATCCTTATTATTAAATACACCTCTAATTCATAGTAAGTGAATTGTTGTGACTTTTTCATAGTTCAAAAGAAGGGGACTATTTAAAGTTCAAGAAAATTGTTGGAACATATATATATATATGCCTTCATTTAACAAGGGTTTAACTACGTTACATTTTCTAAGAGACTTGTTTGGAAATAATCAAAATGATGATAGTAAACATAGCATTTGATTTATATCCTTAAATATTTTCTTAAAGAGTGTGTCATACCCCCCAACAATTCATAACCCATAAGTTATGCCTACTTGGTTCCTGTAGAGCTTATGCGATAAAAGCATAAGTTCAATTTCAAAATATTATGCATGAAGTTTATAATCCACAAGTTATATCCTTACAAGACATAGCTAATGTGGTTAGCGGCATAAGTTTAATTTCAAAACCTACATATAACTTATTTCTAAAAAAAAAACTATCCTGAAAAAATAAAAAAAAATTAAACTTATGACATGCAAATCACAATTAAGTATACTTTGACTCAAAAAATTTCATTAAATAAATAAATAAAAATTAAAGATCACCCCAAATAAGGCAATTGTGCAAAAACTTGAAGTGATATTGGAGATGAATTCGAATTGGCCCAGCTGGCCCACCATTAACTCCAAAGTCTGGAGCCCAACTCTAAAACAGCCCCCGTCCAAGGATCCCTAATAAAAAAAAATTATTTCTATTTATTATTATGTCGTGATGCATATGTATTTACATTTGGACCTTCTAGAATAAGCTTAAGATATTCATTTTTTTTTCTTTTTCTTCACGAACACGAAATATCGACCCATTTTTTCTATACTAAAAATTTGGAAAATAGAGACTTACTCCCTCTATTTCAAAAAGAATGACATACTTTTCTTTTTAATTTGTTTAAAAGAGAATGACCTGTTTTTTTTCTGGTAATATTTTAATTTCAGTTTTCCACGTGACATGTTTAAGGCCACAAGATTAAAGGACAATTTAATACAATTGACATAACTTTAATTTAGGACCACAAGATTCAAAAGTCTTCTTTATTATCTTAAACTCCGTGTCAAGTCAAACTAGATCACTCTTTTAGAAACTGAAGGGTATTTGATGTCGAGAATTTTTTATTTATTTTTTCATTTTCTCTCGATCTCCGGTTATATTTCTCATGCTTTTAATCGAACTAAGCCCCAGAACTTGTTTGCGGAAATCAGGATCTTATGAATTCTTATAATTAATAATCTCAAGTGAATATACAATATATAATTAACTGAGTGCATGGTCAAATTATATAGAGACTTTAGGTAATTAATATGGAAAATTGTACATTATAACAGACTAGTAATTTAAAATAAATATTATAGCTATAGTTTCATTTAATTCCAATTCGCATCAAACTTCTTGTCATTGCCTCTCTTTCCTCTCTGGAATCTCGCTCGCTACTCTCAGTCATCTCTCCCTCGCCTCTCTCACTTTATACAAACACAAATGTATAATTTGTGTTTATATAAAGTGAGAGAGACTGTATATACAAACACAAATACATATCTCTCCGTCCTATACACCTATAATTATACAAATACAAATCTTACCCTGCCCAATTCTCTTTTGCCTTTCTCTCTCTTTTTCGCTTTATACAAACACAAATTATACAAATATAATGTATAATTTGTGTTTGTATAAAGCGAGAGAGATTTGATAAACAAATACAATGTTTTAACTCGATTCAATTGTATACGCATTCAAATTTTATGCAGATATACAAACATAATCATTGATACATATACATAGTAGTTACATATATACAATTATCTAACCAATATACATATACATATGTATAATTTGTGTTTGTATAAAGCGAGAGAGACTGTTATATGCTTTTTGCTGTGTTCTCGGATGATTATTTTCTTTCAATTTGCTTACATTGCAACATGTAAAGCATATAATAAGAAAATAAAAATACCTTCTATCTAATAATTAGTAACTAACTTATTATGCTTTCACATACTTCAATATAATATTAATATTAGAGCTATAATGAAATAATCACCCAGTGTCATGTGCCTAGGCAGAATATCTGGGTCAATGCTCTAGATCAGCACGACAAAGAAACGGAAATATCAGGTAAGCGAAAGTGTACACGTTACATTATGAATTTATGATTGAAAATTCACGAGCTTCATGCAAGCTTAATTTTTAAATCTATAATGCGCGCATCTAGGAATTTAACTACTACTTCTATTAAGAGGTGTGCTTGGTAAGATGCCTAGAATGCATTTTGAAATAGAGAAAAACGTACAACAAGCATGTTATCGCTGCGAGTCTCACTTTCCCCTAATTCCAATATTACACTTACCAACAGATCAAACCAATATAATTTTCGTACCAAGGTTCTTGCAACTACTACTAATAGTAGTTCAAACAGTTATAATGCTGCAGCTATGGAGCTTGGCCGAGGGCCGGCAGTGGCACTGCCGGAGGGCCTCAAGCTAGAATTAATGCCGAAGCACGTGGCGGTGATTATGGATGGTCACAGAAGGTGGGCAAGACAAAAAGGTTTGAGCGTAGAGCAAGGTCACCGCGCTGGTGGAGAGAAAATGAAAGTCCTCACTCGCCTTTGTAACCAGTGGGGAATCAAAGTTCTCACTCTCTTTGCTTTTTCTACTGAAAACTGGACTCGCCCTAAAGTAAGTCATTCTTTTACACCAGCTTGTTGTTACCCCTTCTGTTGCATTATTGTATAATTAGTTTAAATACAATATTTATTTTGATTATTATTTAAATTTTATTGTAACATATCACTCAAATTCCTGATGTATGACATTAATATGTAATGATAATGAATGATACAGTCTATCCAAATATTCTATTCACTAAAACGATACTATACGATACAATACATTTAACAACCATCCAAACAAAGGTGTAAAGTTTTACGATGAAAATCATCACCTTTTTTTTATTTATCATGTAAAATCATTAAAAAGAAAAAACTACAAATGTGGGATAAGGCGTAGTTGAAGCATGAATTTCAGATAAACAAACTAAGTAGTATATCGTTATCTTTTTCAACAACGGATAATAATATTTCCATAATATTTTCTGATTTGTTGACCAATCTTATACATAAAATATTATACATAATTTATTTATTTCTAATACATTGATATATGTTATTATCAAAATACAAAATATTACAGTTGAAAATAAAATGACAAAAATAAATAAACAAATCTTTAGGTTGAGGCGCGAATATCTCGTTTTCTTTAAGGAGATTCAAGCTCACTACGGCATAAGCTACATCGATCCAGCAGTATCACTCTTGACTTGTCCCCTCCAGGGTACAACAATCCAACAACGTCGTACAACTCAAACAACTCCGGATTAGTTAAAGGGTCCAAAGCTCCACAAAAAGAACACTTTCCTTCAACATATAATACTCTCTTTTGTATAGTAAATATAGTTGAAGACTTAAACTATTTTCTTTGTCTCAACTCTCTCTTTCACTACACTAACCTCAATATAAACTTCTCATCATTTCTAACATTATTCTCTTCATCTCATCTTCTTGAGATACTTCACAAAGAAAGAAATACCACTATTTATAAGTGAAGAAGACTTCCATATAATCAATAGGAAAAATGAGGGGTAGTAATGTGGGTAGATAAATGTGATATATGTTACATGAGTTACAAGAACCAATGGTCATATAAGTTACAAGAACCAATAGTCATCTTCTACCACAATTTATACCCACTAACTTATGCACTTAATATTTTATTTTAATAATAAAATGCAGAGAAAATGACATAAATAGTCCGTAACTATAGTAGTAGGTCTAAAATGGTTCCTTAACTATACACTTAACGGATTTAGTCCTTTAACTATTCAAAAACTTATCAGTTTTGGTCCCTTAACTATACACTTACCGGTTTTAGTCCCTTAACTATAAACTTACCGATTTTAGTCCTTTAAGTATTCAAAAACTTATCAGGTTTGGTCTTTGTCCATTTTTGTAATACAAAAAGCTTAGGTTTATATTGACGGAATCCATGCCTCGAGAAATTAAATCCTTTAGCAACTTTTTCTGTTGTTTCTCTCTCTCCGCTACTTTTTCTTCAAATTAACCTTATGCGAAAAACCTTAACCTCAACGATTTAAAATAAAATTCACGAGTAAAGAAAATATAAGTCATAATTTTATTCAAAAGAGGATAAAATGAAGCATATTATTGGTACTAATGACTTGAATATGCTAAACTTTATTATAGAAAGAAAAAAATTATCACCCGTTAAATCCAAAGTTTGTACTCCAACGACTTCCTTGAACAAAATTTATTTAATTTTTTAGAAATTGAAATTTATAAAATGGTAGATTTTCAATTTTTTTCAATTTTTTTTAAATAGATAAATTTTATTATTCTATTCATTTTATTTTACGTAAAGAAATTTGAGTAAATTAAATAAAATCCGCATTGATTAGCATATTCAAGTGCGGATTCAAGTCATTAACAACAATTATATGCTTAATTTTATTCTCCATTGAATAAAATTAGGACTTATATCTTCTTTACTCGTTAATTTTATTTTGGATCGTTGACGTTATTGTTCTTTTCATAAGAATAGTTTCAAGAAAAAAGGTCAGGGGTAGAGAAACAATTTTAAAAATGGGTTAAAGATTTAATTTCACGAAGATTTCGGTTAATATAAATCTAAGTTATTTGTATTAAAAAATGGACAAAGACCAAACCTGATAAGTTTTTGAATACTTAAAGGACTAATAGTTAAAGGAATAAAATTGATAAGTGTATAGTTAAGGGACTAAAGCTGATAAGCTTTTGAATAGTTAAAGGACTAAATTTGTTAATTATATAATTAAGGGACCATTTTAGACCTACTCTAATAGTTTTAGACTATTTATGTCATTTTCTCATAAAATGCATAAATACACCAACAATATATATACACCATAATCTCATGATAAAAACCATCAAGGTGAAAAAGAAAAATGAGATTCTCTATTTTATCTGTTAACGAATCTAAATAATTGGGCGATGCAGGAGGAGGTTGACTTTCTCATGGAGTTGTGTTTAGATCTGGCAAGCTCACAAGAAAACTTGGATGAGTGGACAAGGTAAGCAAGCTCTTTTCAAAAATGTTTGCCTATATAATCATTAGTGTTTTCCCGTTACTATCCATCACCAGTACTCATTCTTGATTATTTACAATATATATAATCATGTGTGTGATAGGGATAATATACGATTTTCATTTATTGGAGATAAATCAATCCTTTCCAAGTCTCTACGGGAAGCTCTTATTCTGAGGGAGGAGACGACGAAATCTAATTCGGGACTGCATGTTATGGTAGCGCTCAATTACAGTGGACGACAAGATATATTACAAGCAACCAAAAGCATTGCCAGTAAAGTAAATAATGGACATTTAGCTGTAACAGACATTGACAACAACATCTTTGAACAAGAACTGGAAACTCATCGCGCCGAATTTCCTGAACCAGATTTGTTAATTCGAACAAGTGGAGAGCAAAGAATTAGCAACTTCATGTTATGGCAATTAGCTTATACTGAACTCTATTTTGCAAAGAAGTTGTTCCCTGACATGGAACAAGAAGATTTTATCGACGCTTTAAAGTCGTTTCAGCCAAGAGAAAGACGTTATGGTGGATCACAAAAAATCTAATATTCAATAGTTGAGAACTAATAATATGTGAATTTCCTATTGTTAGGATTAATAATAAGTACTGGTTACAGTAGTAAGAAATAAGTATGACTCATCCTTGGGAAGTTATGTGGATTGATTTGTGTACTTTTCAGGCATAATTAATATGTGTTACTAACACGACTTTGTCATCTATGTCTCTTATTATGCTCTTTATTTTTTTGTAACAAACTATTTTTCTCTTGGTACTGTTTGCGATATCTCACTCTTGTTTCTGATACATCAAATAACAAATACTAGTAATTAATATCATCGATTAATCAACATGATTTCTTTGATTCGTTTTATTTGTTAAATTGAAATTTATACATTTCTACTATCAAGGAGAAAACGAAAAAACATAATTAATTTTATTTGAACTTATAAAATAGTAACAAATAATTTAAGATAGTTATTATTTTAAAATTGCAAAAATAAATTGAGGTAAGGGAGTATAGAATGGACCCCCCACTTAGTGTGCAATATTTAGCCTCAAGCAAAAAAAATAGATAGAGGTGCACCAAGATTGAAATTTCATGAGATTCAAGTAAATTATTCACTTCCTACCTTTCAATTTATGTGATAAGTTTCGAGCAAACTATTTATTCTATTCACGAGATAGGTGCGCTATGATTGAAAATGGGTGAACTACTTTTCAATTTATGTGATACATTTTGAGCAAACTATTTATTTTATTGATCACGAGATAGGTGCGCTATGATTGAAAATGGGTGAGCTACTTTTCAATTTATGTGATACATTTTGAGCAAACTATTTACTTTATTGATCACGAGATAGGTGCGCTATGATTGAAAATGGGTGAGTTACTTACATTTAATATATGAGTAAGGAATTTAACTTCTATATGAACAGTGGGAGTGGTAGAAGCTTAAAATCAACTACGAATTGGGAAGAATTTAATTAATAAGTATAGTTCAGTAATTTTGATTAAATCCTAAAAATCTAATTTAATTTGATAACTCAATATCCCATTTCAAATTTGAAACTTTAGAGTACTTTTCAAAGAGGAAATGACTTAAAAACATTTTCTTTTAAAAATTAATTTTGTACGATAAAAATGAAATATGATTAGAGAATACTAAATCGCCAGTAAAATGCACGTGAATAATTTTTTCGTGCAACTACTTAGGGTAACTTATTACTTTTTCCAAATATATTTGGGAAACTTACATAAACCCCGCTATACAGTTTAGGAGCTAATTTCTTAGATACACTTTAGTTTGTAATATTAGATATCTTACCATATTTTTGTTTGTTCAAATACATCCAGATACATGTATTTCATGATACATGAGGTCAAAATTGTTCTAGATATATTGTATCCAAGTGAATTCGCATGTATCTGAGATACATAACAAATTTCGCTCGCCACTCTCGCATGTATCTGGTAGCTCACATGCGAATCACACCAGTCGCCAAATACATACATATGCATGTATCTAGTATGTATTTAGTGTGATTTGCATATAGCTGGGATACATATGAATCTCGCTTGCCTCCCTCTCATATTCCTCGCCTCTCTTCCTATTTTAGTGTATCTGATAGCAAAAATAATTAGTGATAAGATACATAATATTTTCAAAATATAGATAGTAATAATAAATATGATGCTAGTAAAGTATGTGTTATTATGTAGTTTTTCCAAATATTTATACGCACATGTCCATTACCATCTAGTAGTAGTATAGGATTCCCCCACTAATTGCTGTACAATGCAATTAGCCACAAAAGGAAAAAATAGAGATTGCAAATTTGATCCATCCCTAAATTTGTATTCTTTCTTTCTCTCTTTATAAACTTTGTGTGAAGTTAATTAAATTTGGGCGAACGAGAGAGTACTAATTCAAATCGGCGAGATTTGAAACCAGAACGCACACTACAACATGCTATCCCTGGGATTCTCACTTCCTCATCCTTCCAATAATAAACTAATTATTACCAACAAAAACCAATATAATTTTCGTACCAATTTAGCCAAGGTTTGTTCTAATAACGTTAATGCAGCTGGGGATCAATTAGTGACACTGCCTGAGGGCCTCAAACATGTTGCAGTGATCATGGATGGTCATAGAAGGTGGGCAAAAAACAAAGGCTTGACCGTAAAGCAAGGTCACCGCGCTGGCGGAGAGAAAATTCAAGTCCTCACCCGCCTTTGTAGCCAGTGGGGAGTCAAAGTTCTCACCGTTTTTGCATTCTCTACAGAAAATTGGGCTCGCCTCAAAGTAAGTCATTGTATTTCTTCCGTCCCAATGTACATGACACCGTTTGAATTTCGAGGGTAAAATAGTATAACTTTGATTTCTAACTTTTTGAAATAAAATTTACATATTTGAAAACTAGGTTAAAACTACTATAAGTCACCATAATTCATAATTCAAGATGTTTACATGATATATGAAAAATTTCGGTCAAATAAAACTTTTTTGACTCTCAAAATTCAAAATTAGGTATCACATAAATGGGATGAAGGGAGTATACTATAGTTTACGACCGATCTATCAATTAAGCATGTTAAATATAGGGAATCAAGAAAATAAATTAGAGAAACCACAGCGACAATAACATGTATACTCAATATAATTCTATAGGTAGGTATGAAAAGAGTATAGTGTAAGACTGTTAGGAGACTTAATCCCTATCTCAAAAAGAAAGAAAGTTGTTTTTGAAGACCATCGACCCAAATATAATGTACAAAATAAATTAGATAAAACGTAATAGAATATCAACACCGTTATGAAGCAAGATATATATATGAATTTCAGAGAAAGTGACTTTCTTTTCTAACAATGAAATTAATTATACAAGAAATGAATCATATGTCTGATTATATTTAACTATATATAATTATAATTACATATGATTTATTAATTTAATTTCTAATACACCAATGTTTTGTTTTATTTGTTGACAACGCAACTCTAAACTTGAGTGCCGCAGGAGGAAGTTGACTTTCTTATGAAGTTGTTTTTAGAGCTGATAGGCTCACAAGAAAACTTGGATGAGTGGACAAGGTATTCTATATATTATCTATATGTGATAAATAAAAATATTTTTGTGTGATCAGCTATCCGACTATATATCTATATAAGAAGATCGTTAATTCCACCATTTTAATGCAAAATGGCTCCCGAAACTAACTCCTCATGGTTTAGTAAATGAAAGGTGGTGTTTGATATTCATTTTGAAATTCAACTTATTCAAATTAAATTATATTATGTGATAGGGATGGTAGACGAGTATCATTTATTGGGGATAAATCAATCCTTTCCAAGTCTTTACAGAAAGCTCTTGCGGTAATGGAGGAGAGAACAAAATGTAATTCTGGACTACATGTTATTATAGCAATCAATTACAGTGGACGACATGATATATTACAAGCAACCAAAAGCATTGCCAGTAAAGTGAAAAATGGAAATTTAACTGTAAAAGACATTGATCAGAGCCTATTTGAGCAAGAACTGGAAACTCATTGCACCGAATTTCCTGAACCAGATTTGTTAATTAGAACAAGTGGAGAGAAAAGAGTTAGCAATTTCATGTTATGGCAATTAGCTTATACTGAATTCTATTTCGCGAATAAGTTATTTCCTGACATGGAAGAAGCTGATTTTATGGAGGCTTTAATGTCGTTTAAGTCGAGACAGAGACGTTATGGTGGACAAAATATCTAGTAATATTTTCAAGAACTTCCATTACTGAGAATTAAACCTAGCTCGACATATGAAGAATTATTGATTAGATCTCTTGAATTTCCTCTTGCTATTAGTACTATTAAATAATTTTATGGTGGTCGATTGTATCTATACCAGCACTATATAAGCATGAAATATCGTCATGCTAGTTATGTGGTTTGTGCTGAGTTTTTTTTTTTCTTTTCCCACCGGCCCCATTAAATTTGAATCGCACACGAAAGGACAGGTGGCACTCCCAACAAGACTTCAAAGTTATATGCTTCCAAGATGTCAATCACATCACCATCATTCATCTTTTACATCACATTTGATTTTTGCTAGACTATGACATAGTAAATTAAATTATAAAATTGAGGCGAAAAATATAGTATATTAATTAACTATCAATAATAATATCATATATTAATTGAATTAGTATTAAATCGTAACTTGTCTTTTTAGCAAATCCTTAAATTGATTTTAGATGAGGGTCGTAAGTCAAATGTCAACTCATTAGTCATTACTCATCTCATTATTCAAAGATCCTTGGAAAATAAAAAGATTTGACAAACAAATAAGAAACTCATTGGTCTTCTCCTTTCTCTTAAAGGGAGAGCCGTTTACCTATACAAGTCTATATTTGTCGAACACTTAAAGTCATTGGCCATACTTTTACTCAAGGGATGGTATCCTGTTTGATTGGTAAATCTAGAACCTTTATATTATTATTATTATTATTATTATTATTATAGTCGTGGTATTCAAATCAACTTATAAGCATCTTGATTAATTTCACAGGATATGTTACCTTCTATTAACACAAGTACCGAGTAAGATTTGCTAAGAAAGTGTCCTTTCCCTTCACATGATCTTTTTTTAGTACAAGTTATATGCACTAATTGAGTCAAAATAACTCACAACCATGTCACTTGTAAAATAATTCATGTAAATATCACAATATAACCCGATAAAAATAATATCTAATCTGATAAAATAGGTTAAATTACACTGAAAATGGTTGTAAAAAATTTGTACACTACCATTGTGTATAACTTTAAGCCCTTTTTCTCAAACACTTTGGTACCCCACATAAGGAATAATGAACTCATTATAATTAGCAGAATCAAATGTCACTCAGTATTATCCCCTTCTCCACATATCACCTAACCTTCTCAATCCCCAAATGGAGCTTCAAACTACTTTTGTTCATTCAAGCTCTCTTTTTTTTCTGTCATTCCATGCTATTCTCTTCATGTTCCTATACTTATCTTTTCCAGAGTGTGCTTCAGC